TATAATATCTAGACTGCAAGTTTTTTTTAAAAGCAGATGGAAAAATTACTCTCTCACTCATTTTCATGTGCTCCCCCTTTCCCAACCACACACTTCCCACAGTGCCTAATACAGTGCCTTACATGAAATAAGCGATCAATATATATTTATCGAAGCACGGACTTTCTTCATCAAAATTTTCCCTAAATGAAAGTAACAAATACAACCAAATGAGTAAGTAAAACATCTCAGTAACTGTTTACTTCCAGCTGAGTTACGTCATTTAGTAGCCTATTGTTCCAAAAGTTAGTGAAATTCTTTAGGTTAGAAATTCTTTAGGTCAGGTATTACCTAACCTACAGGTAAGGGTATAATTTACATGCTTTTTCAAGGTCTTCACTATGACTGTTAATCTAGTATTTTGAAATATGTGTATCTATTCAGTTCACTCTCCTCTGAAAAACAATAGGAATAATATGATAAATATATGTTGGACATTTCCTAGATGATCAAACATGTATGTATTTTCAAGTCATATCAGTTCAATAAATCAACCTCAAAGTAATATTCAAACTTCAATATATAAATTGTAGAGAGTTAAAATTATGGTTGTTTCATTTTGATTTACTTTTATAATAAGCCAAAAAATGTAATAAATGTTCAATAAATGTATTTAAATGGGAGAATCTATTATATGATTTTGCTGTTATATGAAAACATCCAAAAGCAGCAGCATGATATTAATCTAGGACTCCAATTGGACTATAACAAATCTGAAATATAGCCAGAGGTCCACTATTTTTTAAACATGTGACCTTGATCAAATCAGTTAACCTCCCTGAGGCCTAGTTTCCTCATGTAAAATAACAGTATTCGCTTCATCTACTTTGAATTTCTGTGAGTATCAAATGGGGTAGCATATAGGAAAGTTATAAGTACTATTACATTTCCATGTCTTACTTTATAAAATGTTAATGAGTGAGACTATCCTGGAACTTCCCTAAAAAATTTGAGCTTAGAATTATCACTTCCTTGAAAATTTGGTAGACTTTTCCCGTAAAATTGTTTGGGCCTGGTGTTTTCCTCTGAGAAAAATGTTAATTTTTCTCTCCTTTTATTTAATGATTATAAATTATTCAGGTTTTCCTTCTTTTAAAGATAATTTGGTAAGACATTATTTTTCTAGAAATTTCCAAGTTTTGTTTAAATTTTCAAACATATTGGCATAAAGTTCTTCATGGCATCCCATAATGTGTTCAATACCTGCTGTATATTTAAATTTAATTATTGTTGTATTTTAAAATTATAGGCATTTTATGTTTTTTGCTTTTATGCATTTTAATGTATAAATATGAAATGAAAATAATTTCATAATTTCAATACAAAATTATTTTTGTTGCAATAATATAAAAAGTATAATAGTGTAATTCTTGGTATTACACTGTCTTTAAATAAATATCACCAGAATGATCGTCTACCTGTGGGTTTGAAATGATTAGTCTAGGTATATTTCATTCTTTTCCATTCCCTAATCCTGAAGGAGATTATTCAAAACAAACAAAAACAACTTTCTTCAAGACTCTGTCTTCTGAAGGACTAGACTGAGGAAGATGGCACAGGGCGCATCAGCTCTGAAGCTCTGCTGTTCCGCCTCGCCCCTAGCCCTTCACACATCCTTCCTTTGTAGCTATTTCCACCAACCTGTGGTTTGGGGGTGGGCAATGTCCCACTAGGAACAAATAAACTTACTTGATTATTACATAAATAGAAAGGCAAGTCAAGGATATGAAGCATATCATTAAGAGTCTTAAAAAAAGAGAAAAAGATTTTATAATAGAAGCTTTGCAAAAAGACTTGATTGGACCTTATGGGCATTTAATGCCTATAATTATCACAAATATCAACATTATTAAGTTTCAGTTGAAATAAAAGTAAGATTTGAGAAAATAGTCAATCTACAGCTTTTTTTAGATTTTATATTCTCAGGGATATAAGTACAAGAATGTAAGTTTGCATACTAAAATCCTAACTGGAAATCTGAGCCAAAAGACAAATATCTTAAATTAAAATTAAAATTCGTTACAATGAGCTCTGAATTTGGTAATCTTTTTCTTGCTATGTTACCAATTCACACAAGCAGAACAGGGTTTTGAGCAAACACTGCTGTAGACTCAGAAATGTACTAGCTTGCTTATCAATGACCTAGTTTCACAGGTAGTGGGCCTACTTGTATAGCTTTATTTCCTAATTACTTTGCTTGACAGGAATTGCTAAAGGCAGAAAGGAAAGAAATGATTTAACTTAAATCATTAGCCAGGTCTCAAAAGACTATCTAAATGACAAAAAAAGACATACAAATTATTCATATTATAAAACATTAAACTTTCAAAGTATTAACAATACATGTGACCAAAATAGTAGCTGAACAAAGAACAAGGTTTCATTATACTTAGTCACATATAGTCTTCAATAACGTACCTCAGGAGGTTTGAATTCTTCAATTCCCCCTTCCATTTTCTGTTTAAGTGCACTGTTTACTTGCTTAGCATTCTGAACCTTCAATAAAAATAACCCAGATTATAAATTAGAACACATACTTACGTGAATTTCTGAGTACTCAATAAATGAAGAGAATATGTAACAAAATGTTCTTAAATTTCATTTCAGGAGGATAGACACTTCTCACACTTTATCACACTTAGGGTGTAATATTCCACTCATTCAACTAATATATACATCAACTTATATACATATAATCTACCTAATAGATTAATAGACACAGTTCACAAATCATAGTATTTGACTATCTTTTAACAATGTCTCTTATAACCAAAAATAACTGATATATAGGAATTAAAATCCATCAATATTTTTCGTTACCATAATGTTTTGATCAAATAATAATTATTCCACTAAGAATAACAATGATGAGAGTGAATACTATTTATTAGGTGTTTTTTACGTTACACATCATTGTTGGTGCTCCATGTTACACTCTGAGCAAGGAGCATCAACAAAACAGTTATTGTCAGGCTAGAGGGATAGGGGCCTGCACAAGGGGAGCAGAGATAGGGTTTGATTTAAAAGAAATTTCAGAGATAAAACTCACATAACTTGGTTACCACTTGGTTTGTGTGTGTTGGGGCAGTGACACTGGCAAGGGATGAACCACAGATGATTCTGATGTTTCAACAGACAGCAAATAGAGAAAAAAATATTTGGGGGGGTTAGATGAAATATCTAGCAGGTAGCTGGAAATAAAGGTACAGAGCTTGGGAGAAAAGTCATAGCTTGAGGAGTAGATTCAGAAGTCACTGGCATACAGTGTAAGGTTGGTCGATATAGACCAAGAAAGTACAGACTTAGAAGAGTAACTAGACCTAAAAGATAAACAACAACAGAAACAAACAAACAAAAAAGGGAAAAGAAGACTGAGAAAGGCCAGAGACCTAGTAACGATCATTCACTGAGAACACTTATTATGTGGTAGGTACTGTTTTAGGTACTTATGATATATTATCTTGCTTAATTCCTCCCAACCATCACATTGTTACCCACATTTCAAGATGAGGAAACTGAAGTTGAGATGCTGAGCTGCTTCCCTAAGGACCATAGATGGTGTAACCAGGGTTAGAACGTAGGTTCACTGATTCTAGATCCTGACTCTTAACCACTACCTGATTATGGTGATGATACTTTTATAGTACTACTGTGCTACTGCTCCTGGTGATAATGATGATGATGAAGAGAGTAGCCACTACTCATTGAGCCTTTAAATGTGCTAAACACTGCTAAATAATCTGCCTGTATCATCTCAAATAATTCCCAATGGCCTGCAGGAAAAGTATAATTATCCTCAATTTCACAGATATAAAATTGAACCACAGAGAAATTCTATTATTTCCCAAGATCACAGAGCTAACGAGTAACAATGCTGGGACTCAGATCTAGAATAGACAGAGGCACCTTGTTTGAAACAAGGTAATTTTAAAGAATGAGCTTATGTAAATGGATCACTAAGAAAAATTGATAAAACTGAGTTTACTAAGGTAAAGTGGACAAGCAAACTGAACAGAATCATTAAAACTATGATTTTTATAAAATACCTGACGTTTTAAAGAGATCAACTCCATGTCCAGTTGCCTCAGGATGGTGTTGGCTGCATTGGGACTACAGGAAACAGCTACCACATCTTCCTGGGTTAAATACATGCCCTTAGGTGGACGACACTTAGAACGCTGAGAATGATGGCGGTGTTGTAAACTCTGATACTCTCTCCTCCCAAGTCCAATCTTGCTAGTTTGGACAGGTTGTTCAGTATTACCCTAGAAGAATAAAGATAGAATAACAGATTGTTTACTTTTTTTTTTTTTAATCCTCACCCGAGGACATTTTTCCATTTTTTTGTTCAGATAGAGTGGGAGGGAAAGAGAGGAAGAGAGAGGGAAATATTGACATGAAAGAGACACATCGAGTGGCTGCCACCCACACGCCCCAACCAGGGCCGGGGACAAACTACAACCGAGGTACGTGCCCTTAGCAGGAACCGAACCCAGGTCTCTCCGGGCCACAGGCTGATGCTCTAACCGCTGAGCCAAACCAGCCAGAGCCAGATTGTTTCATTTTTAACATGTATAAATTGAAAACTCTTTATTACTTGTAGAAGTATCTGCTGCAATATGTACATCTAGAAAAATACCTCGACCCAATTAGATATGTATGTGTATACACACACAGAGCTCATCAATTGAAGAAAAATAAGCATACAACATAATGTATTCTTGATTAATCCACTCAATAAAATGTTTGATTTCCATACCCAGAGGACTCTGAACAAAATAAAAACATAAGTTGGACTCTAAACTATTCCTGTTGGCTTCAAGAGGGGATATATTTTCCCTAAGCAAGATAGGGGGAAAAAAAGCTACTAATATTAAGTAAAACTTTTTAATAAGTAAGAAAAGGGACATACTAGGAATCTGAGAAGTGGCAGATTAGATAGCTGGTAAAAAAAGAGAGAGAGAGAGATAACTACTCATTCTCACTTTAGAGTTGTTGAAAGAGAAGTATGCCTCCAACTAAAGGTTTAAAAGGATACAGAATTACCTTAATCATGACATTTCTAAACTTTAAGTCTATTTATCTGTGAATAAAACGAATGTAAATTTGCATTTTTAGAAGACATTAATAAATTTCTAATGATGAAAATAAACTAAGTAGGGTTTCATTACCTGTAATATTCTTAGAATGTGATATAAAAATATAATGTTATTTTGTGCTTCTGAGACAGAAATACATTACAAACTATGCCCATTAGGTTAAAGGCTATTTCACAGAATAGATAATAATCCAATTTTTAGAAAAGGAACTCTGAGCAAATATTATAAAACAATTATATAATAAAGCATAATCCACTCTGTTGCTTAAAATCCAACTCAAAGCCACACATGGCAGACTTGATGTTCAGGGAAACTCCTAGTACAGCACTCCTAAAATTGCTGGATCAAGTTTTTTTTTTTTTTTTTTTTTTAAATCTTTTAAAATTCATTTGAGAGCTGTCAGAGAAGTGAGGCAATTCCTCAGAGACCAGAAATGCTGAGAAAGCAGGCATCCAGAGGATAAGCGAATATGCAGGAGCTGGCATTCACCTAGAGCCCAGGCTTCAGCGGACAGCAGGTACAGGGCACAGAGATAAAGCCACTCTGGAAGGGACTTCATCACTGTGCACAAAGAAAAAAATGCCCCTGCCCTGCAGAGGGAGAGAATGATTAAAGGGAGTCATGCCTACCTTATTGTTGGCCAAATGGAAAGAAACCAAAACATGTCTCCCCTGAGAATCCCTAACTACAGGCTAACATTCAAGTGGCTTTGAGGACTAAATTTTTATGACCTGACTAACCTAAAACACCCAAAATAAAGAATTTCAAGTGTCTCAAGATGGAAGGGCATTCAGACACTTAGCAGAAGCAAATGCAAACTGTCTCTAGAAAAACAGACTTTAAACCCAGGTCTCAAAATTTTTCTCATGTATATTTCAAGGAAAATGAGCTCACAACTACAAATTGTTATACAAGTCCTGTGAGAAACAGAGAAGCAAACAACAGAATTATACCTGTAACGCCTGCAGATATTAGCATTACTAAATAAAGATAACACAATAAATGTGTGGGACGTGTACAAAGGAATAAAAGGATTAGGCCATGACTGGTGGCTCAGCTGGTTAGAGCACTGTCCTGATACACCAAGGCTGCGGGTTCAATCTCCAGTCAGGGCACATATAAAAAAGCAACCAATGAATACATGAATAAGTGGAACAACAACTGGATAGTTCCCCGCCCTTCTTCCTGTCTCTAAAATCACTAAATTAAAACAAAAATAAAATTAGGGGAAAAAATAAAGAACCCTGGCCCGGTGGCTCAGTTGGTTTGAGTGTCAGCCTATATACCAAAAGGTCCTGGGTTTGATTTCTGGTCAGGGCACATAACTAGGTTGTGGGTTCAATCCCTGGTTGGGATGCATACAGGAGGCAACCAACTGATGTTTCTCTCTCTCCCTTTCTCCCTAAAAATCAATGAAAACATGTCCTCATGTGAGGATTCAAAAAAACAACAACAAAGTAAAGAACTGAAAATATGAAATATTCTTACAAGGAATGAGAGTCTATCAAAACTGACAAAACAGGTATGCAAAGGAACCAAACAGAACATCTAAAAATAAGACATCAGAAATAAATTAGAAACTCAATGGATGGTTATTCAGCAAATCAGACAGAACTAAAATTGTTCACTAAGAACAGGGGTGGGGAACATCTAGCCTGAGGGCTGTCTAAGGCTCGCAAAATCAGTATCAGCTAACATCGCACACTTCACCAAATTAGCCTGATCAAATATTGCAAGCTAATTTTTAAGTTGATAATTTTGTATGGACTGTGAATGGTGTTATAGATAACCAAATGGCCCTTGGCTATAAAGTACTTCTTTTAAGTGAAAAGGTTAAGATCTACAGTAAGAACAACTCTTCCATCCATGTAATTTTGAAAATAAAAATTCATGCTAGTTTTGCTGTCACACCTCAAACTGCAAAAGTTACATCCACCATGGGTGATAAGTATTTAGTTAAGATAGGAAAGGCATTCAATTTGTGGATGGAAGATAAATAGAAAACATGTTCCAACTGATGGTATGTCAAGCCAGAAAACACTGAACTTACATAAACACTCCAGCAGGATCCCTGAAAGCACTGACACTAAGCCACTTACTGAAAGGAAGGCAAGGTTACGCAGATTCAGGAATAGGTCTGGACTGAAAAATATAAGAATTACTGGAGATGTTGCGTACGCTGATGAAGAGCCGCTGCCACAGTTCCAACAGAGTTAACTTAGTTGATTAAGGAAAAAGGTATGTATGCATAGGAGAAAACATACTATATACAGGGTTCAGCACTATCCATGGTTTCAGGCACCTACTGGGCTGTTGGAACATATCCACTGTACCTTAGGGGAAGACTACTGTACCCTAAAACAGAATAATTCCACTCCAAACAATCATACGGTATTGTTAGTAAATAAATCCCACTGGCATTTTGGTGGAACAATCTGTGCTGTGCACTGCAGAAGAACTACATGCCAGTGGTACCCTTCAATCATTGTAACAGTGAAAATATCCTCGCTCTGGCCAGTTTGGCTCAGCAGTTAGAGCATCGGCCCGTGGACCCAAGAGTCCCAGGTTCAGTTCCCGCTAAGGGCACGTACCTCGGTTGCAGTTTGTCCCCGGCCCCAGTTGGGGTCATATGGGTGGCAACCAGTCAATGTGTCTCTCTCACATTGATGTTTCTCTCTCTTCCCCCTTCTCTCCCTCCTGCTCTATCTAAAGATAAATGCAAGAATGTCATTGAGTGAGGATTAAAAAAAAGAAATTATCCTCCCTCATTTCTAGATGCCCTTTACCCCTGGGGGCAATACTAAACCTACCTGAAAACCACTGTCCAATGGGCACTCATATATATGTATCCCAGATATGTTCTTATCAGTATTGCTCAAAGTAATAAAAAACTGGAAATGACATCCGACAGTAAGAGAACGAATGTGGCATGTACATACAATGGAACACTATAATATAGCAATAAAATGAATTGCAAAAACGTATTGGATAACAACAACAAAATATAGGTAGCTGAAGAATATATACAACATGATTCCATTTAAATAAAGTTTGAAATGAACAAAGCTAAATGAGAGTTGCTCAGATATACACATATGTGATAAAACCATTAAAATAAGAAAAGTGAATAACTGATAAATTTCAGGATAAGGTTCCCTTTTTAGGGTAGAGGTTCCCTCTGGAGAGAAGGGACAGAGGGTGCCATTAAGAAAACCCGCATAGGACTTGTGTTTCTTAAGTTTAGTAGATGGAAACATTGGTGTTTATTTTATTATTATACTTTACACTGTATACATTCTAAGGTATGTGCAGTTCACAATTTTTAAAAGGTAGCTATGTGCTAAAGGTAATATTATAGTATTATTCCCTGCCTGATGTCCTTATCATTTGTGAAAGAGCAGAGAAATGAATAAAGCTGCTGATATGCAGTGTCAGCCCTGGACCACAACCCTGCAGTATTCTTTTACTTTTTAATTTATTCTCCCTTCACGTTATTATTTGCTAATAGGATCATCTCAGACAAACAAAGATAAAATTTGTATGTATTCCACCTTGCATAGTTGGACAAAACAGTATTCCATATACATACACTTTCTTAATCTCTCAGATTTGTGTAATAATTATAATTTGACTGAATGCTTACTATGTACAAAGCCCTGTAGATAAGGCACAATTCTTGCTCTTTTTTTTTTGGTACATGCCCCTAGCGGGAACCAAACCCGGGACTCTGGTCCACAGGCTGATGCTCCAACAGCTGAGCCAAACCAGCCAGGGCTGATATTTAAATCTAAAAGAACTAACTATAGGACAAACTGCAGGGAACTTAAAAATTATCTTAAATGTAGTAATTAGACAAGTGGGGTGGGGTGAAGAAAGCCTAGCTAGAGAGTTTGTGTGTGTTTGTTTTATAGACAAAGCCATGGAAGGGTTACAGGGAATAAATTTGGTTTTAAAAAGATTGCTTTGGCAACCGAGTAAAGAATATACTAGAAGGTGTGGTGTGGGGAGTCTGGAGGCATGGAGATGAGATAATTAAGAAAGTATTGAGAACCTAAAAATAAGGCAGTCAACCAGAGGAGATGGTAACTCTTTTTTAATCTATTCATTTAGTTACTTTTTAAATCCTCTCTCTCAAATAATTGTAAATTTTGCCCTTCCTCTTTGTTCCTCTAAATGGAAACACAATAGTTAAAAAGGTAGATAGGAATCAGAGAATGATGTTATAAGTCAAAGAGATTTTCAGGAAGAAGGGAGGGTCAATGACTTGAAATGACAGAGAAAGCACAAGTAGAAGACAATGAATGGTTTTAATCCCTGGATGTGGCAGTTAGGAGGTCACTTGTCAGCAGTTTCAGAGAAGTGAAGGGACAGAAGAAGCCTCACTAAGGCTAACTCAAGAGAGAAGTAGTGCTAAGGAGTAATTTGTTTTCTAACTGGTTGAGGGAGAAAGAGAGAGATGCTTTTGAATGGAAGACCTGTGCATCCTTTTGGACTATAATAAAAAGGATAAAAATATGGCACAGAGAAGGGATGACTGATGGAAAAAGTCCTAGAGGCGCAATGAAGGGATAAATAGGCTGAAACAAGCAGTGAAATGATACAAAACAAGGAAGGAACTTTTCTAACTGTGAGAGAGAGGCGTTCCGGCAGACTGTTCATTCAGTAGACATTACTGAATATTATTTCATATTACCAGAGTTGTACATTTTAAAAGTCTGATCATATCAAGTATTGGCAAGGAAGTAAAAAATGACTGCTGTGTAAAGGGCGAAAGGGGTACAAGGTATGTGTAACAGACTCTGCCTTCAAAGACTTCACAGTTAAGTGGGCAAACACAATAATTTTAATACAATGTTCAAAGTATAAATACCCTCAGTTGAAAAGGATAGTGTGGTAGTACAAAGGTTTAGGGAAAAAATGGAATTTAAGGGAGTTTCTGCTTGATATTTCATGTGTGAAGTAGAAGGTGAAGTTATCTGCCAAGATTTTAGAGGGAGTGAGAGGTAGTAGGTGATGCGTAGAAAGGAATGAATGTTCAAAATAGTTTCTCAGATAATAGAACAGCAGCATATTTATTCAAGGTTTACTATGTACTGGGTACTAAATGCTTTTACACATACCACCTCTTTGATCTTCAAAACAATCCTACTATTTTTATTTTACCAATGGAAAAACTGAGCCTTAGAGGTTAAAGACTGAGAGGTGCTAAGGACTACACTGAGATTGGAAACTACTTTTTGTAAGTAGCAAGAATTTACATGCCTGTGCCATTTTCTCCTGATGTGCTTCTCAGACCAAGAATAGCAACTGACCCAGCCTGTAGGTTTATAGGATTAGGGAAGGTATAGCAGAAGGATGAGGAGTGCAAGATACTGGAAAGAGAGCAATTTACATAGTTGAACACTGGGCTCAGGAAAACAGGTCAGACTTGGAAAAAAATGAAGGAATAAATAAATATGAGACCATTTAGCAATATTAAAACAATTAGTAAAATATCAAATTGAAATAAGAATGGATTTTTTAAATTTCACTGATAAAAGAGTTTAAAATGATGACAATGACTAGAATGGGCCATGACACTGAGTTCCTTTAAAGAAGTAAGAGTCATTAAATTGGATGAGGTCACATTCTGTCTCTCAAATTTCAATGTTATTTTCACTATTCCACAGCTGCCTACCCATCAACATTTAGTCTATTTTTTACAATTATGTAACTCCTTGCCATAATAAATGAGCATGTATATCAACTGAGCCTGTTCTTAACAATTTTTAGTCATCATTATTATCATCACATTGAGAAATATGTGTGCTTTGGTAGTTAAAGATTCTTCCATCTCTTCCTTTGAGGCAGCTTTCAATTTTCACTGCTGTCAGTATACCAGCTACTCATTTCTAATTTGGTGTAATATATAACAAAAAATATGTTTTCAAGAAAGACTGGGTAGGTCCTGGACAGGTAGCTCAGTTGGCTAGAGCATCATCCTGATATGTCAAGATTACAGGTTGGATTCCCAGTCAGAGCACATAAAGGAATCGACCAATGAATGTATAAATAAGTGGAATAACAAATCAATGTCTCTCTCTCCTTAAAATTAATAAAATAAAAAATTTTAAAACAGAAAGAAAAATTGGGTAATGACTAAAAGTTTAATTTTTACCAAATACACCTGAAGGTATTTTATTTCCACGTACAGTAAACCCATGAACCCTGGCCAGTTTGGGTCAGCGGTTAGAGTGTTGGCCCTCGGAAGGAAGGGTGGCAGGTTCGATTCCGGTCAAGGGCACATACCTGGGTTGCAGGTTTGATCCCCAGCCCTGGCCAGGGTCATGCAGGAGGCAAGCAATCAATGTGTCTCTCTCACATCCATGTTTTTCTCTCTCTCCCTCCCTCCCACTCTCTAAAAGTCAACTGAAAAATATCCTCAGGAGAGGATTAACAAAAAAAAAGAAAAACTTGATATAACAGACTAATTTGGGTGAGGGGGTGTCCATTCAAGCTGAAAGTCTATTATATAATAAAGTAGATTTTCCTAAAGTGTATGTTAAAAATTGACACATTAGCCCTGGCCGGTTTGGCTCAGTGGTTAGAGTGTCGGCCTGCGGTCCAGAGAGATTGGGGTTCAGTTCCCGCTAAGGGCATGTACCTCGGTTGCAGCTTGTCCCTGGCCTTGGTTGGGTCGTGTGGATGGCAGCCACTCTATGTGTCCCTTTCACGTCGATGTTTCTCTCTATCTCTCTCTCTCTCTCTCCCTCCTGTTCTGTCTAAACAAAATGTCCTCGGGTGAGGATAAAAAAAAAAAATTGACAAATTAGTTAACTGTTTTTACTTATGTAGACATGTTTGTGTTATTAAAATTAAGCACGTCCTAAGAATCCTGAAACACCAACCAGAAAGAATATATGCACTCCTATGTTCACAGCAGTACTATTTACAATAACTAAGATCTGGAAACAGCCCAAATGCCCATTAGTCGATGAGTGGACAATAAAGCTGTGGTACATGTACACAATGGAATACCTATGCAGCTATAAAGAAAAAAAAAAAGGATCTCTTACCCTTTGAGACAGCCCATGGAGGAACCTGGAGAGTATCATGCTAAGCGAAATAAGCCAGTCAGAGAAAGACAAGTATCGCATGATCTCACTTATATGTGGAATTTAATGAACAAAATAAACTGAAGAACAAAACAAATCCAGAGACATGGAAGCATGGAACAGACTGAAGAAATCTCAGAGGGAAGGGGGAAGGGTGGGGCAAGAAGAGATTAACAAAATAATTTATATGCATGTAAAGCATAACCCATGGACACAGACAATAGTGCCTTAAGAGCCTGGAAGTGGGGGGTGGGCAATGGGTAGTGGGGGGCCAATGGGGGGGAAAAAGGAAGAGACATCTGTAATACTTTCAACAATAAAGACATATTTTTAAAAAGTGTGTATGAAAAGTTTAACTTCACAGAAAGGTTTTCTATGTATATTACAGTAATTTTAAACTTATACTGA